CCTCTGACAGTGGGAAAAAATGGAATCTATTTTCTTCTAGAGATGACAAGTGATATCTACTTTTGGGACACGGAGAAAGGGAGGTGACTGGTGGGAGGTGAACCTGGACACCCAGTCAGGGGCTAGAAAGACGGTCCGGATGAGAAAAGAGCGAATGCAGTTGCGAGCAGCACTCACATGAAAATCCGCTTTGAGATTTGGATGGGTAAAGATATCCATCCAAAATAAATACGGATGCAGGTTAAAGGGAGATGTTTCGTTGTCAGTTTGGCCAGTAGCAAAATAATAAAAAATGCATGGGGCTTTAAACATGTGATCTAATTTAGATGCTCTCAGAACAAGCCTACAGGTCTTATCCCCACCTTACAGATAAAGAGACTGGGGCACAGAGAGGTGAAGTGGCTCGTCCAAGATCACACAGCTGGTAAGTGCCCGAGCAAGCACTGGACACCGATTCCCAGCTGAACACAGTCTGGAGTCAGGCTGGCCCCAGATGCCTGCTCCAGTCCCGCTTCGTGGCCTTAGACTGTTTCGCTTCACTCAGATTCCGTTTCCCACCAGCAAATGAAAAATGGCATCCAACTTGCAGGGCTATTATCATAATTAAGATCGTGTATATAAAGCACCAGAACCCAGGACCAGCCCCATCAGCAAACCTCAAGAAACAGAACTGTGGTGACAACCCATTCTTAGGATTCGAATTCCAAGTGGGATTTCTCTTCCATTCGCATTCTCCCTTAGGATTGGGCTCCCTGATGAACTTGAATCTGCAGAAGTGTTCTGTGTCTGTAACAAGGAACTAGTCCAGCTCCAGTGAACTGTAGTGACCATCTGGGTTGAGCTTTTTCTCAGCAGATAATCTTCAGTTCTCCCAAGCAGAGCCTAAATGGAGCTTTCCAGTCCAAACAGCCAGCCTAAACTGCATCACTAGATCACAAACCAGTTCTCCAAAAACGATGGTGGCCACTCAGAAAAGCCCAAGGTGTCTAGGAGGTAAATGGGAGCTATAGGGAGGCAAGAAGAAAAAAACCAAGAACCAAATTTTAAAATGGGAAGAGGACTTGATAGTCACTTCTCCAAAGAAGACATACAAATGGCCAACAAGCAGATGAAAAGATGCTCACTATCACTAATCATTAGAGAAATGTAAATCGAAACCACAATGAGATTCCATTTCATATCCATTAGAATGGTTATTATCAAAAACAAATGAATGAATAAACAAATAAAAACAGGCTGGGCCCAGTGGCTCAAGCCTGTAAGCCCACCACGTTGGGAGGCCAATGAAGGAAAATCACTTGAGGCCAGGAGTCCAAAATCAGCCCAGTCGACATAGTGAGATGCTGTCTCTCCAAAAGAAAAATTTAAAAATTAGCCAGATGTGATGGGTACCTATAGTCCCAGGTACCAGGGAGGCGGAAGCAAACAATTCCTTGAGACCAGGAGATAGAGGCCACAGTGAGCCATGATCAAATCACTGCACTCCAGCCTGCATGACAGAATGAGACCCTGTCTCTTAAAAAACAAATCAAGGCTGGGCACAGTGGCTCATGCCTGTAATTCCAGCACTTTGGGAAGCTGAGGTGGGTGGATCACCTGAGGTCAGGAGTTCAAGACCAGCCTGACCAATATGGTGAAACCCCATCTCTACTAAAAATACAAAAATTAGCCCGGCATCGTGGGTGCCTATAGTCCCAGCTACTCAGGAGGCTGAGACAGGAGAATTGCTTGAACCTGGGAGGCGGGGGTTACAGTGAGCTGAGATTATGCCACTGCACTCCAGCCTGGGAGACAGAGTGAGACTGTTAAACAAAACAAACAAAAACACATAATAACAAGCGTTGACAAGGATATGGAGAAATTGGAATCTTTGTGCATTGCTGAGGAAATGGAAAATGTCACAGCCCCTGTGGAAGACAGTTTAGGGGCTCCTCAAAAAAAAAAAATTAAATGTAGAATTACCATATGATCCAGCAATTCCATTTCTTGGTATATCCACAAAAGAATTGAAAGCAGGGACTTGAACAGATATTTTTATACCAATGTTCACAGCAGCATTATTCAGAATAGCCAAAAGATGAAAACAACCTGAGTGACTATTGACAGATGGATAAAGAAAAAGTTCTATATATATATGTATGTATAATGGAATATTATTCAGCCATAAAAAGGAAGAAAATTCTGACACATGCTATGTGGGAAGTAGAAAAGTTCCTTTTTAAAGTTTCCTTTCTTACTAATTTTGTTAAGCCCTACCCTATGTAGCTGTTAGACATGCCATGCTTACAGGTACATAGTACATTCTATGTCCTTGTACTTTTACCAAGATATCTGTGCTGGATGTGCTCACAGGCATGTCCCAGCTCTCCACTGCTTTTACCTGTTTAGAAAAGTTTTAAGAGTTGTTAGCCTGCTGGGTTTTAGTTTAAGTTGTGAGGTCTGGCTCCAGCCAGCAGAGATCAGACACAGCAGTAACGACAACCCCAAATGCGTAAGGGATCGATTTGTGTGTTTTCCTTTGTTCATTGTACTCTCATGGCATGATGGCTAGCGAGGGTACCCTTCCTGCAGTCCAGGAAGTGAAAATTGCCTTGCTGAAAGATCCTTTGTCTCAGTGCTAATTTTTCTTTGCAGCACTGAGCATCTACTTCCAACATCTATTTCCAAGATGCTACAACATGGATGAGACTTGAGGACATTATGCTAAGTCAAATGAGCCCGACCAAAAAAAAAAAAAAAAAGCACTGTGTGATTCCACTCACATGACGTACCTAGAGTAGTCAGATTCATAGAGATGGAAAGAAGAATGATGGTTGCCAAGGCCTGGAGAGGGTGGTGGAGAGTCAGTGCTTATTAGGGACAGAACTCAAGTTTACAAAGATGAAAAGGCTCTGGAGAGGGATAGCACAACGTGAGTGTACTTAATACCACTGAACTGTATGCTTTAAAAATGGCTGAATTGTTAAATTTTATGTTACGTATTTTTTACTACAATCAAAAAGACAAAGGAAAGATATGGAAAGATGCAGGGACAGCAACTTCTGCTGCAGGTGGTTGTGGGGGGAACTCTGTCTTCCCCAGGCCAGGTCTGCCAGGGCAGAAGAGATGGGCACACTCAGGAGGACCCGCCTCTGCCACTCAGGGTGTGGCTGGAGGCAGGTCTCTTTGCTTCTCTGGGAAAACCCAGGAAGTTGGCTGATTCACAGATGGTCTCTAGCTTCTGCTTTATTAGGAAGGCTTGTCTCCTAATAAGGCAATGAACAAGGTAGCAGGGACAGAAAAGCAGACTTTCACTTCTTTGGACATTTCCAATGAGACCTTAGGACCCTTAGACTTTGGAACTGTACTTCAGAAAAATGTGCCTTACAGGAATTTTATCAGTGACGGTCCTGGCACCGAACAGATGCCACCCTCAAGCTGGGTCCATGAAGACAGTTTAGTAAAGGGTCAATGTACACAGGTGTGGGTGGGGCTAAGGGAGAGCCCAGATGGCGCAGTACTCAGGGCTTGCAGCAGCAAGATTCTCACCGTCCTGAGCAGAAAAGTGGCTTCAGGAACCCTGAGAGAGACCACGTGAGGAGGAAGGGCACCTTTGGTAAAAACCACCAGGGAGGAGGCGCTTGGGGATTAAACACCCAGACCTCCCTCTCCCCTGCCCTCAACCTCCTCCCAGGGCCTCCCACCCGCCAAGCCCAATAGGAAGACCAGGACAGTGATCTCCGCACAGGCCAGCCTCTGGGGCGCGAGCAGGATGGTAAAGTCTGGCAAGGAAGTCAGAGGAGCAAATGCAGGGGCGGATCCAAAGTGAATCAGCACCAAATCATCCATGTGGCCTGGCCAGGGTAGCTGAGAGCAGTCCTCCCCTGGATAAGCCCACCCTCTTCCAAATGCTGATCCGGGACCGGAGTGGCAGCGAGGAGAGTCATCCGGTTTGTTGAAAAGAGCCCCCTTACTGGCTGTAAGAACACTGGCTAGGGGCCTAAACCTCCCGTCCATGTATTATATATTCATTTATCCATTCATTCAGCCAACATCTCCTGAAAGTGACTCAGTGCCCAGCCAGTGCTAGGAGGCACTAGATGAAGAAACAAGGAGCTGCCCCAGCCACCGTAGCTTCAACGAGTGAGATCCGCCTGCAGCCAGGCAGTGATGAGCTCCATCCACCTACTCCCCGATTCTAGCGGCCGCCTTCTGCCGCGACCTCTGTAAAATGGGTCAACCACCTCTTCCTCCTAGAGTCGGCCTGAGGATGCAAAGACAATATTTGTGAAAAGCAGGGCCCGCGGCACCCGCTGAGCAGTAAATGCTCCGCAACTGGGAACCTATGGCCTTGCTATCGAGCACCCAGGTGCCCCTCACACATCGTCACCACCCTTTTACCCTGTTTTGTTGCTTTCATCGCAATTACATTTTACCTACGTGCAATTGTTGCAGTTTTTCTCTCCCTCACTCCCCATGTCCCAGACTGTGAGCCTGGGCGAACCTGGTCGCTGGCCTCTTGCTCTTCCTGAATCATCAGGGCTTGGGGTGGGTGTAGGATTGCCAGCACTCCTAACATGGACTGCACTGCGGAATGGCTTACTGGCAGGCAGTACTACTAGGCCCATATTATAGATGAAGAGACCCAGCCCAGAGAGGTTAAGCAACTCACCTATGGGCGCAGAGTGGAAAAGCGGCAGAGCTGGGATTCGAACCCGGGAGTCTGGCTCTCCAATCTGGCCGTGGAGGCGGCTGCCTGAGCAAGCGTGCGGGATTGAATCGACACTTCAGTCAATGAAGGGGCGGCGGGTGCAGGCCCGTCCCCTCCCCCGGCCCGGCGGCTCAGCACCCGGACAAAGGCCGGGCGGGGGCCGGGCGGGGGCCGGACGTGGCCGGCGGGGTCCGCGCGCGGGGGGCTGGGGCCGGGGCCGGGCCCTTTAAGGGGGGCGGGCCGGCGGCGCGGGGGGCGGTGCGGGGGGCGGGCCGGGGGCGGGCGGCGGCGGCGGGGCCGGGCTGGAGTGCTCGCCGAGCGAAGGGCGGCGGCAGCGGCGGCGGCGGCTCGTGCTCTGTCCTGGTGGCGGTCGCGCTCGGCTCCAGGTTCCCGGCCCGCGGCGGCGCGCCCCCCGTGCTCCCCGCACCCCGCGACCCCCGCACCCGCGCTCGGCCCGCGGCGGGCGGAGGAGCGGCCATGCCGCCGCGGCGCAGCATCGTGGAGGTGAAGGTGCTGGACGTGCAGAAGCGGCGGGTGCCCAACAAGCATTATGTGAGTGCGGCGCGGCCCCCACGCCCCCTGGAGCCCGCGCCCCGCCGGGGCCGACCGAGGGCCCCCGGCTCGGAAAACTTCTGCCTCCAGCGCTTCCCGTCCCCTCCTTCCCTGCTCTCCCCTCGGCCCTGCCGCGGCGCTGCCCGGGTCCCTCCCGACTCCTCCCCCCTGCCTCCCCTTCCCGCTTTTGCCCCGTTCTCCTCCTGCATCCCTTCCTCCCGCCTCGCCCGCATACTCGCCTCTCTGCGGCTCCTCTACCCCTTTCTGTCTCCTCCGTGCCCCCCACCCCACTCCCGTCCTGCTCATGAGTGGAAAAGTCTGGCCCCAGCCGGTGAGGGGGCAGAGACAGAAAGCGGGAGAGAGAGAAGCGCCTGTTCCCAGGCCGCCCGCCCTGCCACTCCTTGTCCAGAGGCGCGCAGACCCGCAGTGCCCAGCCACAGGTAGCCCCTGTAGGGATCGCCGAGTTTGACTCCGTTCTTTTGCAAGAGCCAGCCTGGGCGATGGAGGAGATCTCTCGGCATGGATCATTTGAGTGGCTGCACCTTTAAAGGGTTAAAAACATCCCCTGCCCCCTCTCTCCAGGAACTTCTGTTAAAAAATGGATGAAAGTTTTCTCCTGGCATCTCCCTCTGGAACATGGAAATCTTGTTTGGAGCTGGCAGGAACTTGAGAAAATGGGACAGTAGCGTTGTTGTGCAGATGAGAAGGCTGAGGCTCAGGGGTTGCAGGTCCTAGAACGCAGAGCTGCATTCGAGCTTCCCTCCCTCTAAAAGGGGGGCCTGGGGCTGACGGTGACCTGCAGGTGGAAAGTGGCCCTGCAGCAACCTAGGGGACGCGTCTGCAGATTCAGGAGGCCCTGGGACCACCTCTTCAGGTTCTGGGTGGAGATAAAGGGGATGTGGGGTGATGGGCCCACAGGAGGCCTTGGGGAGGGCCTCATTACAGCAGGAAGGGGGCTCGAGTGTCTCTGGCGGTGAGAAGTGGGCAGTGGCTGAGCCTGGCTGCAGAGAAGTTAACCAGGAAGGGAAAAAGAGTAAGAGGGAGGGAAAAAATCCTAACAAAGAAGTATAGAACAATGAATAGAAAAGGGCGTTGGCTGGCTAAATTCAGCTCCTTGACCTCCCTGGAAGACGTCTTCAAATCTTTTTCTATAAAGAACTAATTCTTACACAGTAGATCTACATGCCTTCCATGAATAGCCTGTGAAATTCTGAAAGGAGATAGCCGGGAACCCATTCCACCCTCTCCACAAGAAAGGGTGTGCTGTGTGATTCTGTATTGTTACTGGCTGGGCAGCCAGTTGTTCAGCCTTTAGCCAGGCACTGGGAAGCTATTTCCTGGACCTGTGGCATCTTTAAATAGAGTGAAGTTTCCCTTGATTCCAGAGCTGAGCTAAATTGTCTTTTTTTTTTTTCTTCCTTTTTTGATTTTTTGTTAACTGTTTTCAAATGCTGCCAAATCTTAGTTTCTTGTTTGAGCCTGTTAGTGCGTAACTGAGTTTGCCTCTTGGGCATGAAGACAGATTTCACCAGCATGGCAACAGGAGGAAGTCTGGAATTCTCCATGCCACCTCCCACCAGGTCTGTGAGCTGGCAAAATGAGAATAGATACCGCCACTGAGGCCCGGCCATCGTGGTCCACGCACCCTCTCTGGCCACTCCATATCACGCTTGAGGGTCTTAAACCCATTTGACAGATGAGAAAACCAGGGCTCAGCAGAGTGAGGTCCCACGCTGAAGGTCACGGTCAGGAGCCAAGCAGGGATGTAGATCCAGGTCTGTTGGATGCCAAAAAGACCACACCACTTCCCAGATCCAGTACCCCCATAATCTGAGTAAAGTCCTCTGAAAAACTGGGAAATCTCATATCATTAGTGAAAACCTGGAAGCTTTTCATTCTCTGCTCTGTCAGCTCCATCACTGCCAGTTTTCTGAAGATTTTGCAGCTTTGAGAAGCATCTTTTGAAGCTTTCAGCCACTTTTTAGGAGCCCCCTGAGACAAGTTTCTATGTTAAAACATAGGTTGGGGTTCGGATCTTGGCTTCCCAGCTGGCAGCTGTGTCGCCTCTCAGCCTCAGTTTTTCATCTGTGTAATGGGGATGGTATTGTCCATTTCCTGGGGGAGCAGCCACGTGGCAGGCAGGGGTGGAGTTCCCTAACCATTAGCTCCCTGCCTGCCTGTCCCGAGATATCTTGTCACTGATTGGGAACATGCCAAAGTCACATGCTGGGGGGACTCACCAAGACCTTGTTTTTCTGCATGTGGGTTTAGTCACTCATGTGATTCAAGGGGCCTTCTCCCTTCTGGCCCAGCCTTCTGGGTTCATCAGATGAGGAGGGGCGATGAGCTGAACTGAAGCCCGAGTCATCCACAGGAACTTTACTGCCATGATGGCAGGGGGGCCGAACCCAATGGAAATGGATGCCTGTGGTGGGTGAACACGACTGCTGGTCCCAAGCTCCGCCCCAGCCCCACACACACTCTGGAAAGAATGGGCATGAAGGCAGCTATTGGCGGGCCTGGACTTTGACTCCCATTTGGTATCCCTCTTTCTGAAGCCACCCTGGAGAGACAGCATCAGCTGGGGAGTTGAACGGTCCTACTGTGTGACCTTGGACTGGTTGGTTTGCCTCTCTGAGCTCTAGCTTCTGTGTAAATATCGCTACGTCCCTCAACGGCAGAGTTTCTCGGCCTCAACACTTTTGCCATTGTGGGCTGGTCATTCTTTGTTATAGGGCTGTCCTGTGGATTGTAGGGTGATTAGCAGATCCCTGGCTTCTACCCACTAGTCATCCCCCTTCCCAGCTGTGACACCCAAAAGGTCTCCAGGCATTGATTGCTGCATGTGTGTGGTAGCATCACACACATCCTACCCCAGCCACTGCACCATAGAATACACAAGTCAGTTTTTTAGATTCCCCTTCACTGCACCCCCTAATTTTCCACTACCCCTTCCCCATTTGCAGCCATCTCAGCCACCACATGCTCACCACCCACTTGCCTGTGATGCACAACATCATGGGTGCTTTAGATGGCATTGGAGAACTGCACCCGGAGTTCAGGATTGCCCATCAGGACTGGGCCACCTGCTCCATCTGAAATGGTGCCTTCTCCAAGATCGGAATGGTATCCTCTCCAGCCCAGGCTCAGTCACCCACAGGCAGAGCCATCATCCATGGGCCCAGGGGCAGAGCCACAGGTCAGGCCTGGAGAATGCGGGGCCAGAGGCTCCAGGGGCCTCTGAGATCCTGGCAGGTTGATGACAGTTATCCATAATGTTGTTTGGAGAGGGCCTCCCTGGAGCCACTGCCCTCTGTTGGGAGCAGGGAGATGAAGGTTTGGGGGGCTGCTTCCTTTCTCTGCTGGCATCTTTCCTGCACTACAGCCCGAGGGCTTGGGGATGAATGGAGAGGGGGCTTCTGAGGATGATATCCTGGGAGACCCTCCCCAGCTAGGTTATCTTCGGCTTGAGGGGAGGAAGAAGAGCTCCAGGTAGAATTTGTGGGTTTTGTTTGGATCACCCCATTTCCCACACTGGAGAGGGATGTGCAGAAGCATTAGTCTCAGCAGCAGGGGCCTGGAGATGCTGGCCGGCTCTGTCTCAACATCTGTAAATGTTAAGAGGAGCAAGATGGTTATAGTATTTATGGCAGCAAGAATAACAGTGGCTCAGTAACCTGAGCAGGGCACTGGGTCAGGCTCTCTAGGTGTGTTTAGGCATCACAGCAGCCCTTTCAAATAGGTACATATATAATTGTTTTTTCAGATGGGTTCTCAGTTCTGTAACACAGGCTGGAGTGGTGCGATACTGGCTCCCTGCAGCCTCCGCCTCCCAGGTCCCAGTGATTTTCCTGCCTCAGCCTTCCGGATTGCTGGGATTACAGGCGTTCACCACCACACCCAGCTAATTTTTGTATTTTTAGTAGAGATGGGGTTTCACTATGTTGGCCAGGCTGGTCTCGAACTCCTGACCTCAGGTGATCTGCCCACCTTGGCCTCCCAAAGTGCTGGGATTACAGGCGTGAGCCACCTCGCCCGGCTCAAATAGGTATATTGTCGATATAGCAATAAAATATTTGGCACATAGAAAAGATACATAGAATAAAATAAATATCTATGTCTAGATACCTTCCAAGTCTTCAGATCTCTATATTTTGCCATATTGGTTTCAAAACTTTTTAATTTTTAAGAAATAAAGCGTCGCAGATGCATAGCCCACTGTGACGCTCCCCAGTGCTGTCCCCCCCCCCCGTAAACCACTATCCTGCAGTTTGATGTTGATCATTCCCATGCACTTGTGAAAAATAGGCTAATAGATAGGATATTTCTTTAACAGCTTTCTAGAGGTATAATTTACATACTATAAAATTCATCCATCGTAAGTGTGCAATTCGCTGATTTTTAAAGTAAATTTATAGAGCTGTGCAACCATCACCACAATCCAGTTTTATAACATTTCCATCATACCCAAAAAGACCCCCTACACCCATTTGCGATCAGTCCCCTTCCCACCCCAGCCCGTGGACCTTTTAATGTCTTTTCATTTTTACCATTCCCTAAAATCTTGTATTGTCGTGAATGTATTAAAACCATAAAAAAGCATTACACGGCCAGGCGTGGTGGCTCATGCCTGTAATCCCAGCACTTTGGGAGGCCGAGGCAGGCAGATCCTGAGGTCAGGAGTTTCGAGACCAGCCTGACCAACATGGTGAAAAGTCACCTCTACTTAAAATACAAAAATGAGTCAGGTGTGGTGGCGCACCCCTGTGATCGCAGCTACTCAGGAGGCTGAGGCAGGAGAATCGCTTGAACCCGGGAGGTGGAGATTGCAGTGAGTCAAGACTGTGTCACTGCACTCTAGCCTGGGCAACAGAGTGAGACTCCGTCTCAAAAAAAGTAAAAGCGTTAACAATTTTGAGATCTGTGTCGATCAGGTAGCTCCAGTTCATTTTAACTGTTGGTTACGATGGCGTTGATGAATATGCCCCTATTTTTTTCAA